GTACGGATGGGAAAGTAGAAATCAATATATTTTATTGGGAAGATAGAATTTTTAGGAATTGGGCGGGAAGTTAAAATTTCAGGATTTTGTTATTATATATAGTATAGAGTATAGATAGATTGTGCAAAAGGAATTGTATTACACTATTTTATAATTTTAGAATAGAATTTTTGCCTAGAATTATTGTACGAATGGGAAAGTAGAAATCAATATATTTTATTGGGAAGAGAGAATTTTTAGGAATTGGGCGGGAAGTTAAAATTTAGGATTTTGTTATTATATATAGTATAGAGTATAGATTGTGCAAAGAGAATTGTATTACACTATTTTATAATTTTAGAATAGAATTTTTTCTCAGAATTATTGTACGAATGGGTAAGTAGAAATCAATATATTTTATTGGGAAGAGAGAATTTTTAGGAATTGGGTGGGATGTTAAAATTTCAGGATTTTGTTATTATATATAGTATAGTATATAGAGTGTACAAAGGGAATTGTATTATCCTATTTTATAATTTTAGAATAGAATTTTTACCCAGAATTATTGTACGAATGGGAAAGTAGAAATCAATATATTTTATTGGGAAGAGAGAATTTTTAGGAATTGGGCAGGAAGTTAATATTTCAGGATTTTGTTATTATATATAGTATAGATAGTATAGATTGTGCAAAGTGAATTGTATTACACTATTTTATAATTTTAGAATAGAATTTGTTCCCAGAATTATTGTACGAATGAGAAAGTAGAAATCAATATATTTTATTGGGAAGAGAGAATTTTTAGGAATTGGGCAGGAAGTTAAAATTTCAAGATTTTGTTATTATATATAGTATAGATTGTGCAAAGGGAATTGAATTACACTATTTTATAATTTTAGAATAGAATTTTTTCACAGAATTATTGTACAAATGAGAAAGTATAAATCAATATATTTTATTGGGAACAGAGAATTTTTAGGAATTGGGGAAGTTAAAATTTCAGAATTTTGTTATTATTATTTATAATTTTAGAATAGAATTTTTACCCAGAATTATTGTAGGAATGAGAAAGTAGAAATCAATATATTTTATTAGGAAGAGAGAATTTTTAGGAATTGGGCGGGAAGTTAAAATTTCATGATTTTGTTATTATATATAGTATAGAATAGATATAGATATAGATTATTTAATTAAGGTTTAGTTGGTTAATTAATTATGCCTGGAACCATTAAAGTTGAAGATGAATGTGTGGTCTCTAATTATTTAAGCAAAGATGAGAGATTGTAGAGGGAAGATTTGGATGGGTGTTGCTCCATGATTCAAGGGATGTGTAAGCAAGATATCTTCAAGAGTGTTCAAGTATAAATAGAAGACAAATCTCCAAATTAGGAAGCTGAAAAATACACTTTTACGCCAACTTCCCTGAGGATTTAATATATATCGGCCTGCTGTTTTAACATATATTATGTTGTCTTAATGTGTAAAGTCTGTTAAATCATTTCAGACTTATTTATTATAAATCTCTGTCTAGATTGGGTTTGGTTTGTAATTGGGTGTCTATCTAGATTGGGTTTGGTTTGTAATCGGGTATTATCCAAGTAAGTTCAAGAAGGGTGAAGAGATACCGACTCAGAAGATGATGATGATTGGTTGGCATGGTTGAAAAAAGCAGGAAGGATAAAGAGATACGAACTCAGAAGATGATGATGATTAGTTGGCATGGTTGAAAAAAAGCGCGTCTAGCCGCGGGGGATTAATTGGCGACTAGGCTCTAGTGTTTTTTTATTTTATTTTTTATTTTTTATTACAAAGGAAGGAGATATTCACATATATCACTACAATCATCTCCACCGAGGCTCGAACCCATCACCTTATACATAGATGAATAACTTGGTACCAGTGGACAATTAAAAAAAAATAAAACCTACCATTCAATCTATCCAACAAACTAAAACAATATTCAATTCATAATATTCAATTAACATATTATTATGTGCTTGTTTTTTTTGAAGGTCAATCTTGCGATTGTATTAATGAATCAAAGCTGAAATAGCGTCAGGTGGGATAGCATCCTAGTACATATCTTGATCCTGAGTAAATGCTAATGTAGCTAAAGTATGCGCATGTAAATTAATCTGCCTAGAGATGTAATCCAAAGTAATACGATTAAATAATAACATAAATGTTCTGCACTGGTCAACTGTGACCCCAACGTACGAATGGATTGGCGTATGATGATGCCTGATAATCGCCGTCAACTCCATACGATCCGTGAGTATACTTACTGATGTGTTGCCCCGTTCAAGCAGCCAAGACAAAGCCTCCTTGTATGCCTGGGCCTCCGCCATAAGTGGTGAAAAACAAATTGGTGACTTGCCATTCCTCGCTGCCACAAACGAGCCATCTGGCGCTATAATTATCATGCCGTAAGTTGCTTCGCCCGTGTCGTGCCGGAAACCCGCGTCCACATAACACCGTAGACCATCCTCCCCTGGACCGTTCAAGTGGTCCGTCGCCGGTGCGGGCTCGGTTCGGCGGGCATGGACAGTGTCGTATGCGTGTAGTGCTACGGTGGCTGCTCTGACCAATTGGGTAGGCCGCATCATTGATCCCTTCTAGACAACTGAATTTCGGGTTCTCCAAATATAATATAACACTGCTACCATTAACCGGGTCTGCTCCTCCGTCAAGGCCGCCATAGCCCCTTTTAGCCATGTTGTAAACGAGTCTGCAATAATATTAATAATAGGCAATTGTGTTATATTCCAAACAAGTCTAGAATATTCACAGAGCACTAAAGCATGCAACACATCTTCATGATCTAAACCACACTTCGGGCAAGTTGGTTCCACCCCCACCCTTTTAAATATCAAATTAAGGGTTGTTGGTAAAATGTCACATATGGCTCTCCACAAGAAGGTTTTCCATTTAGGGGGGACTTTTATTTTCCACACTGCTACCCATTTATCAAAATTTGCTGGATTATTCTCATAATCACCCACAATACGCCTATAGGCATTCTTTACTGTATATGTCCCCTTTGGGTCACTCACCCAATACCATGAGTCATCATACTCAGGACTAACAGGGATCATATTTATTCGCTCCACATCTTCAGGAAGAAACAAATCAGACAAAATATGCGGATCCCAGGTATGAGTCTGTAAATCAATCAGTCCTGCAACTCGTGCCCCTCTCAATTGCTGTGGCATCTCTGTTTGAATCAATGGGCTGGGATTATCTCGTAACCACGGGTGCCCCCATATTAAAGTTGTCTGTCCATTCCCAATCCTCCTCCGCACCCCTGAGACTACCATTGGATGGACTGCCATTATACTTCTCCAACAGTAACTTGGGCAATTACCAATAGTTGCATCTGTAAAGCTGGTTGTGGGATAATACCTTTGCCTTATAAATTTTAGCTACGAGTGTTTCTGGGTCTGTCAAAAAACGACATGCCTGTTTACCCAGCATTGCTAGGTTAAACGCCCTCAGCTCTTTAAAACCCATACCACCATACTTCTTTGGTATGCACATCCTGTCCCATGCCTTCCAATGTATTCCCCTTTCTCTTCCACTGCCCCACCAATACTTATTCATAGTTCGCTCAATTGACTGACAAACTGTCTCAGGTAACAAAAAAACACTCATGAGAAGGTAGGCATAGCTTGCGCTACACTTTTCAATAACACTTCCTTACCGGCCTGAGAGAGTAACTTTTTACTCCACGAACCAATTCGCTGCCTGATTTTTTCCTCCACATATGAAAAAACAGCTCTCTTATTCCTCCCTACAAAAGATGGTAGGCCCAAATATTTCCCAAAATTGGGTGCTTGCACCACCCCCAGACAATTCGCTACCTGTGTCCTGTGAGCTTCCTGAGTATTTCTGCTAAAACATATATTAGATTTATTATAATTGACCACCTGGCCTGACAATTTCTCATACCTCGCAAGGCACTGCCTTATAACTTCTGCCTCCTGGATATTTGCTTAAAAAAATAGGAGACTATCATCCGCAAAAAACAGGTGTGTTACAGGCGGTGCCCCCCTCGCGACTCTGCACCCATGTATTGAGCCTGCCAACTGTTCATACTGTAATATCATCGAGAGAGCCTCTGCACAAATAATAAACAAATACGGAGAGAGCGGGTCTCCCTGCCTGAGTCCCCTGGTTGGTTTTACGTGCCCTCCTACCGTACCATTGACCATTACAGTATAATTGACAGTCGTAACACACATCATAATGAGTTTTATCCACTTCTCACTAAAACCCATAACAGTCAGCATTTTTTCCAGAAAGTTCCATTCCATTCTATCATAGGCCTTTGACATATCTAACTTCAATGCACTCCATCCCACTATACCACATTGCTTTCTATTCAGATAATGTCCCACCTCTGCTGCCACCAGGATGTTGTCAGTGATTAGCCTTCCCGGGATAAAAGCACTTTGGGATTCTGATATTAATCCTCCCATTAGTGTTTTCATCCTATTTGCTATCATTTTGGCCATAATTTTGTAAACGACATTACTTAATGCAATCGGCCTTAAATCTGCAACTGTCTCAGGCATCTCCTTCTTCGGTATCAAGACAATGTTAGTATCATTCAAACCCTCAGGGAATACACAGGAATTCAACACATTCATTATAAAGCCCGATACATCTTCTCCCACTACCTCCCAAAACTGCTGGTAGAAACCCGGATTTAAACCATCCGGACCTGGTGCCTTATCCGGGTACATTGAAAAAAGAGCCTCTTTAACCTCATAAGTTTCAAAAGGGCGGTCTAGCATCATATTTTGCTCCAACGTTACTCGTGGGGCTAGGACCCCAAAAAGTGGATCATCACAACTCAATCCATTAGAGGCAAAAATATTTTCAAAGTAAGTCTGTATAGCAGCATGCATACCATCCCCCTCCACCCAGTTACCAGCATCACATTTAATAGTAGAAATAAAATTCTTTTTCCTACGTGTAGAGGCATACCTGTGATAAAACTTTGTATTTGCCCCGCGTAGCTAGTGCTGCTTGGCCCGCTGCCTCCAAAACACATCCTCCTGGGCCTCTACTCGTTTCATGGTATTCTCAATATGTTGGTATTCAGCTAAAGCCCCCACATCTCGTCTATTTCGTATGGCATCTTGCCTCTGCTGCAGGTGGTTAATTCGTTTTCCGAATTTATGAAACTGATCTCCACCCCACCGCATCAACTTTTCCCCACACAACCGCTGGCAATGCAGCAATCCCTCCGTTCTCCCCTCCTGCCAGGCCGTTTCAACTACTTCTTTGCACCCCTCATCCAAAAGCCAAGCCATTTCAAATCTAAACTTCCATGGCCCCCTTCTCCTTGGCATGCAAAACGCTTGAATGCTGAGGAATAGGATCGAATGATCCGAGGCCCGGGTTCGAATATTCTCCAGCCATGCATTCTCATTGAGCAGACCCCAATCATTCGTTATTAAAGCTTTGTCCAATCTTTCCTCTATCCAATTCGGTGTGCCCTTTCCCTTCTGCCACGTATACTGATGGCCCCTCATTGGCATTTGCATCAAACCACAGTCATCCGCAGCATCACCGAAACCCCGTAGCAAACTATTAGGATACGGATTTCCCCCCTTCTTCTCATGCTGGTATAGTAGATTATTAAAATCCCCTATCACCACCCAGGGCAACAAAGACCTAGTCTTCAGCATGCCAAGTAATTCCCATGTTTCCTCCCGCCTACCACGCTCGGGGACACCATAGATACATGTCATGCGCCATAACTTATTAAACAAGCTTATCTCCACATCAATATGACTCTGTGAGTAACTCAAAAGTCTCACCATATTATTCTTCTTCCATAAAAGCGCCATTCCTCTACTCAAGCCGTCGTTATCAACATAAAATAACCCTTCATACCCAAGCGTAACACGGATCCTTTCTGCATGTATCCGTGGCACCTTGGTCTCCATCAAGAACACGAAATCAGGTTTCTTACTGGACGCTAGGCCCACAATCTGTCGAACTGTGCATGGATTGCCCAAGCCACGACAGTTCCAGCTCAAAGTACTCATGATGATGGGCGGGGCTGGACACCAGCTCCCGCCGTGGACAAGTTTTTTGAACCAGCTGCAACTGTTACCTCCTCATTCCCACTTCCCTCCTCCCCTCCGTCTCATGCCTACGACGCTTTGTCGTAGCCACCACCACTTCATCCTCAGACATACTCGTGGGTGTGACACCCCCACTTCCCTGTCCCCCATCCACTGTTCCACCCACACGTGGCCTGGCCCCCAGTGGTCGTGGTTTCCCGCCAACCGGAACAAGCCAGCTATCCCCAACCGCTCTAGGAGCGCTCCGGGATCCACCAGCTCGCATATCCGGACCGTACAGGTACCTTTCCACCGGAATTCCAGCCTCCCTAGCGTGTATGCAGAAAATATGCAAATGACCCATACAACCACAGAAATAGCAAAACTTATGGAGCCGTTCATATCTAAAATTCACCCATGCCGTAGTCCCATCTCTCTTCATCAACCGCATCCTCCTTCTAAGCGGCCTATCCACCGAAATTGACACCCGAATACGGTGAAACGTTAACCATGGTGCCCCCTCAAATCGGTCATCATGTTTAACAAAAGAGCCCAAAAAATTCCCTGCCTGTTCTAGAATTGCATGCGACGTGTATCCCTTCGGCATATCGTGCAACTGTACCCACATGTCAATCATATCCAGCTCTACATCCACCGGATTCACCCCATCCAACACCTCCCGACACACAAGTGCATTATTCTCAAAAGCCCAGGGTCCTCCATTCAGCACATATTCCATATCAGTCTTATGGAAAAAAAACAAACAAGAACAAACCCCTTTGAATCTCTGTTACCTGTAATCCACGTACTGGTTGCCAAACAGATGCCAGAACCTGCCTCATAAAGTCCAGTTTTATCATTTTTTGCGTCAAAAACCGCCCGACTATCCTCCAAGTCTCCTCCTCCTCCTCCCCATCACCCTCTACCACCACATCACCACCTTCCGGTATAAACACCGCTCCCTCCTCCTCCATCAAAGCCATCTCCGCCCACCTATCCGTCAACTCCGCCACACCCACCCCCCTCCCTCGGCCGGCCTGGCACCGACCCTCCTCCCCCACCCTGCCCCCTTCCGTTAACAGCCCTCTCCCTCAACCCCCCTACCCCCACCGACATCCCAATTTGCCTCGGAAACCCACTGCCCTCACCACGCCCGACTGCCCCATCCCTGTGCATGCCCTCATACAAACCAATAAAGCCTTCTCCCACCTCCCCCCTTACAATTCGGCGATGGCCTGGCACATCCCTCCCACTGCTTCCTCGTCCATTCTCCCCCTCCCCTGTTCGCCGTTGGCCATCCAACAGTCCCCCCTCATGCAAACCAGTAAACATATCACCCTCCTCCCCCCTTTCGGTTCGGCGGTTGTCTGCCACAAAAGCCTCACCGCTTCCTCGCCCAATCCCCTCCTCCCCCACTGCTCTGCGTTGACCGCCCAACAATCCCTGATCAATTTCCATTACTACTGCACCGACAATCAACTGGATAGAATTGAAAAATCACCGATGAAAACCCAGGAGAAACCCTAGTAGGAACGCAAAAACCCTAGAGAAAATTTTCTAGAGAGAGAATTCTTTATTAATAAAGAAAAATATTATTATGTGCTTGTAAATAAATTGAAAACACATAATTTGTTAATTGCAAACAGATAATATGTTAACTATTTGTGCCTAATTAATATATTAAATGCAGACACATAATATAATAAATTATAAATTAATTTTCTATGAAGTAATTTTATTTTATTAGTATGTAAATTGTTTAAACTTATACAAATAACAAATATTTTATCATAGTTTGTATTTAATTTTTGTGTATTTTAAAATATGTTATAAATTAAACTAGATTAGAGATGGAATGATTTAATATATTGTTTCATACTTTCATATCATCTATTTGTTTTAATCTTATACATTCATTAGGTATTTAAATACAAAAATACTTTCCTTTAATAAGATGAGAATATAATTGTGTTGTATTCAATAATAATGTCTGAGAGTACATGGAGCGAATATATAGAGATGCTAGATAGAATCCTAGTCTAACATGAATAATATAGTCCTAGTCTAATATGGATAATAAAGTCCTAATACTCCCCCTGAAGCACAAGGTTGGTCAGCCAAAACATTGAGCTTGCAACGGAGTAAATTAAAACGTACAGATGAAAGAGACTTAGTAAAATATCTGCTATCTGATCTTTGGTAGAAATAAAATTAACTTGTAATTCCTTCTTCGCGACTTTATCGCGAACAAAGTGGTAGTCGATTTCAATGTGCTTGGTGCGAGCATGAAACACCGGATTAGCATACAGATAAGTAGCTCCCAGATTGTCACACCAGAGTTTGAGCACAAAAGGTGGCGCAAACCCAATTTCCTTCATCAGAGAGACGAGCCAAGTAACCTCTACAGAGACATCAGTCAGTCCTTTGTATTCAGCCTCAATTGAGGAACGAGCCACAGTACGTTGTTTTCGACAAACCCATGAAACGAGATTGGTTCCCAGTATGTTGTATAGAGAGACATCCGTCTTGGAAGGTGAGAAACCGGCAGAAACCAGAAAATCATGGAAACGAGTGAACCAAGCACGGGGAACTTGCTTAAGCCTATACAAAGAACGTTGAAGGAGACAAACGTGCCCGGGCATCGTTTTGTCTTAATTGCCAGGGGGCTGGCGCATATAAACTGTCTCAGCGAGATTGTCGTTTAGGAAAGAATTGTGTATGTCTAGCTGTCGAATAGTCCATCCACTAGAAATAGCTAGGGATAAGAGAAGACGTACCGTAGTTGGTTTAACAACGGGACTAAAGGTCTCAAAGAAATCCTCACCAGCAATCTGATTGAATCACTTGGCAACTAACCGAGCCTTGTAACGCTCAATCGAACCATCAGCCTTTCTCTTGATTCTAAACACCCACTTACATCCAACTATATTCATACCTGATTTAAAGGGAACAAGCCTCCATGTATTGTTGTGCACCAAGGCATTAAATTCCAAATCCATTGCATCCCGCCATTCAGGAAATTTAACCGTTTGAGTAAAACATGTAGGTTCAGGAGTAACAGCAGCAGCAGATAAAGCAACATGATCATGTGGTCCCGAACTTCTCGTATTCATTCCATGAGAGCGAACGGGTGAGGGCGCGAGACGAGACCGACCACGAGGCCGACCTCTTGGCCGAGGAGCCGGCTGGTCCGTGACTGTCCGCTCGGACTCGGTCACGGGCTCGGCAGTAGCAGGCTGCTGGCGGTGGTGGTCAGAAGCGGCTATGGGCGTGGTAAGAGGGTCACGAGTCGTGACAATAGTCGGATCACCACCAGAAACAATTGGTGCAACACCCCACGGCTCCGGGCGTAGTTTTGGAACCTGCGAATCCACAGAAGCAACAAAAGGAAAGACAGCCTCATCGAATCGCACATGGCGACAGATAAAAACCTTGTTAGTGTTAGTCTCTAAACAACGATAGCCACGAAAAGATAGAAGATATCCTAGAAAGACACAAGGGGATGACCGAAACTATAATTTGTTGCGATTATAGGGACGCGGATTTGGAAAGCATAAACACCCAAAAACACGCAGATATGAATAAGATGGAGGAGACCAATGCAAAAAATAATGAGGAGATTTATCAGATAAGACAGGAGTGGGCATTTTATTGATTAGATAAACCGCAGTTTCAAAAGCATAATCCCAAAAATGAGACGGAACGGAGGATTGAGCCATTAATGCTAGTCCCGTTTCAACAACATGCCTATGCTTACGTTCTACCCTGCCATTTTGTTCATGAGTATACGCACAGGATTGCCTGTGACGAATACCTAAGGACGCAAGAGTGGAACCAAGCTTTTTATATTCTCCCCCTAAATCAGATTGAAAAGAAATAATCTTGCGAGAAAAGGAACGTTCAACTAGTGACCGAAACTTATGAAATATAGCATACAAATCAGATTTAGCACGCATGGGATAATACCACATATAACGAGTGTAATCATCCACAAACAACACAAAATATTTAAAGCCAGACGCAGAAAGTAATGGTGTAGGGCCCCAAATATCTGAATAAATTAATTCCAAAGGATGCGTACTAGTAGTTTCGACACGAGACAAAGGAAAACGAGAAGATTTTCCTAATTTACAAGATGAATAGACATTGGGAAGATCACTAGAATTAAATGTACCAACAGACGAAGACACTAAAATTTTACGTAAGACTCGAGACTGAGGATGCCCCAACCGCATGTGCCAAACGTAAGATGACCGTGCAGCAACAAATGTAGCAGGGGAAGCAGAAGACGTAGGCCATGCGTAGAGACCCCCAGACGCATGTCCCTTAAAAAGAACCTTCTTAGTCAAAATGTCTTTCACATAGAAACAAAGAGGGTGAAACTCAAAGAAAACATTATTGTCCTTTGCAAAACGCTGGACAGATAATAGAGAAGAAGAGAGACCAGGGACATGCAAAACATCATGTAACTTAAAAGACATAGAATCAGTAGCTAATGAATCAGAACCAACATTAACAATAGGCAAACCTATACCATTGCCGACTCGCAGAGTCTCCGGGCCATCATAACTTGTCGCAGAAGTCATCAAAGAAGAATCAGGCGTAGCATGATTTGTAGCACCAGTGTCAGAGAATCACTGATGTGTACAGTTGGAATCACCATTATCACCAGAGACGGCCACATTAGCCTGAAAACCCGGAGCCCCTGAATAACGCCGAAAACATTTGGCTCCCGTGTGACCAAAACGGTTACAAATTTGACATTGATCATCATAGCGCCAAAAACAATTGGCTCCCGTGTGACCAAAATGGTTACAAATTTGACACGGATCATCATAACGCCAAACACAATTGGCTCCCGTGTGGCCGAAACCTTTACAAATTTGACACGGATCATCAATATGTCACGTCGTTGACCGAACCGCTTCTCATACGGTGTATCTTGGTTTGATGCCATCGGCTACTGCTACGAAGTGAGGAACATGGATGTTGAAAAAGAAAAACCCTAGCTAACTGATACCAGATGAGAATATAATTGTGTTGTATTCAATAATAATGTCTGAGAATACAGGGAGCGAATATATAGAGATGCTAGATAGAATCCTAGTCTAACACGAATAATATAGTCCTAGTCTAATATGAATAATAGAGTCCTAATAAATAATAGGGAAAATGGCACTTCTTCCCCCTAAGTTATATACTTATAGCACTTTTCCCCCCTAAATTATTCAAGTGGCTGTTTTTTCCCCTGAAATGTTAAATAGACATATTTACCCTTAAAATAAATATTTCATTTATTTTCCTTTTCCAACAAATTATGACCATAATTTGGTTCAAACCAAACAAACACTATAGCAACCAAACTGAAATATTCCAATTACAATTTAGAATCGAAACTCGATATTTAGAGTTTATTAAAATCGCGAACCGGAATGGATGGTTCATGTTCCAAACTAAAAAAATAAAATTCATTTATTTTTGAATTTAGAATATTTAAAATAAAAAATAAAATTTTAAAATAAAGACAGTTCAAAATCGCGAACCGGATCCAGAACCGCCGATTCACGGTTCAAGATCCAATTTTTTTGATTCATAACTTTAATAAATTGAAATCCAAATATTAGGTTCTAGATCTGAATCATAACCGGAAACTTTTAATTCAATTGCTATAGTGTTCGGTTTAGTTTGATCCGAACCTTGGTCATCCCTACGTATACGCGATAATTTGTTGGAGAAGTAAAATAAATAAAATGTTTACTTTAAGGGTAGAAATGTCAATTTAATATATCAGGGGGGAAAAACTACCACTTTTAGAATAATTGAGGGGGCTAATGTGCTTACCTAAATAATCGAGGGGGAAAAGGGACTATAAGTATATAACTCAGGGGGAAAAAGTGTCATTTTCCCTAAATAATATTAAACAACAGTGAGTTCTTAGTGTGCTATAAACGAGTTTGTGTAAACTGATTAACACGATAATACTAACGGCTTAAACGGATTCTTAATAGGTTAGTCAAATAAACCTCAACTATATGATGAATGGTGAGTATCTCGGAGTGCAATAAAAATCTTTGATAAAATATATAAGACAAGTTATATAGTTTACCCATTAGATTGAACTTCCTCCGTCTTTGCTACGTGTCTGTGCCTTCCGACAAAGCTAGGACAAGATATCTTTATATAATAGAAATAAAAAATTATTGATAGCAAACAAATGAAACAGTACACAATTACACATAAATGATGATATGGAGTAATAAATTAAACTTCAATAGTTTACACCATTCCACAATATGTGTGACAATGCAATGCCAATAATAATATACAATAATAAAAGACTCTTGATAGCAAAGCGCAGCAAAGCTTTATGAATCATTTATTCAAGGGAAAATTAAAAAGCAAACTCCAAAAATTTATTAACCACATGAAGCAAACTCGTAGAAATGACCAAATTGCATTATATTGCAAGCCATGCTATCCTGTGGAAAGAAGTAACAAACACATCAAACTTTATATTTATCAAAAGACGTGATACTAATCCTATAGAGAACAAATATAAATATATTTATAATGCACGCCTTTTAAAGATTAAGAGACAAAATTTGATGCATTAATAATAGTTGGTATTATCGATCCAACAAAACTCTAAATAAACAATGTGCAATTGGACTCCCAATAATGTTAATCTTGACTCATTGATTTACAATAAGTAATATATTACAATGTCCTTTTAAATTTATAATAATATTCACAATTCACGAGTGTTAAAAATAGAGTATTAATTAGAAATACGTACCTATCTGTTTAATGAGAAGCATTATTATCATCTTCAACACTAGGTTCTTCTGTTTGGTCCACTGCCAGATGACAAAAATAAATAAGGGAAAATCCAAAATGATAGTAACAAAAATAAAATAAAAACAGTGAGAGAGAAAAGACAAACCACGGTGAATATCAACGGTTTTGTATCCATAATCATCGTTGCGGATAACATTAATTTGTTGGGCAGAAGACATAGCAGAAGGGGAGCAATTTCGTAACTCGATTGACTCCAACGTGATGATATCTGCAAAATCAATTGGAATCGCTTCCAAGCTGATACACCTTTTAAGAACAAGGCGTTCAAGACAACCAAATTGTTCATCTCTGTTGATTTCCCAGCGAACAAGGTTTCTAGCTTCAAGGAACAACAATTTTAGTTTTTCAAAATTTCCCTCAGTGGGTTCCCAATCCGAATCATTGGAGGCTTCTTTCAGCTTCAGAGATTCGAGATTTGGTAGCATGCTAATTGTGTTTAATTCTCTCCATGCCAAACAAGTTCTCTTCAATTTCAGTTTCTTGATGTTAAGGCAATGTGACAAAGAGTTCAAATTCTGGAAGCCTGCAGAAACTGATGAGCCTTTCCGGAATGCAACCATTAACGTCTCTAGCTTATCCAAACAATCAAGATTACCAAGGTTATCTGAGTCCACTCCATTTGGATTATTTGATTCACATCCACAAATAATCCCCAATTTTTTTACATTCGGAATCCTTGAAAACACTTCCTTTGTACAATGTTCTAAACTCAACCAATAGAGTGTGTGCAAGCTGTGTTTGACCTCACTAGGAGGATCCACTGAGAGGGAGTAGCTAACCTCCACATGCCTTAGTTGTGGTGATTTCCAAATCTCAGATGACAAACGCTTATTATTGCTTGTTCTTGTCTTAGAAATGATAAGCGTTTGCAAATTCGGATTAGCTGACACTATGTGCTCCAGATTTTCAAACCATTGGGTTAAAGATAAGTATCGCAAAAACACTAAATCCTCGAAATTCTTTCTTGTGAGTGGATAAGATGGAACAAAAGACGGAGAAGGGACAAAAGCCAATACTCTTATCAGTTTGGAATCTACAAACATTTCAGGATTTTCATGAAAGAAAATAGAGCGAAGATTGTTTGTACGGAATAACACATAATAGTCAAAGCTGTGTGTGTATAAACTCAACCAACGACACGAGTTTGCAAACACATCTAATGGCAACCCTAAATGTTGTCGAGTATTTACAGCACAAAAAATACCTCCTTTTTGAGCTTCTCCTACACAAAAGGTATGCAAGGCACCGTGCATCCTACAGGTCTTAATTTGGCCATTAGAACTTCGGCTATGAATTAAGACAAGACTTCTATCAATAAGCTCTTGTAAATACTTGTAAGCTTGATTTTCTGACATCACAAAACCCTCCACAATCCATAACCTAAAAAGGGTTTTAACTAAGATTTCACTGCGTTTTGGGAAGGTTCCAAAATATAAAAAGCACACATTCAAATGTTGCGGTAACTGATTGTAATTGAGTGTGAGGTCATTGCGATCTAAAATCCCTAACGACTCTAACTCCTTTTCAATCTTTTTCCACTCTTTCTCTATGTTGTCGCATTCAGATAGACGCTTAGTTACCGTCACAATTGATTGTGCTAACCCCTCACATTTTTCCACAAGAGCCTCTCTAATTGTTTCAAATTTGGATATCATACTCTTTTTATTGTGTGGAAGGATATGATAAAAGAGATCCCAACTTTCTTTTGGATCTAACAAAGTCATGTAATGGATATGGTCGGCACTGCCTCTAGCATAGTACCCATCAAAGTGCCTAGTGGTTAGCAATATGCAACTTCCATTCCCATCATTAGGAAAGTATCGGTGGATATCATCCCAAGCTAAATGGTTCAATAAGTTATCCAACACAATCACGTACCTCTTGCCGTTCAAGCACTTGCGTAGCTGATTTGCTAGATCAGAAGTGGTAGTAGTGATTCCCTCTTTGGTTTCATTTGATTCTGCTCCATTGATGGATCGAAGAAGGTCGCTTAGCATTTGTGTCTTGTCAAATTCTGGACGCATAGTAACCCCTCCTCGTACTTGGAAATGTGACAGAAGTGCTGGATCTGTGTATATGGTTTTAACCAAAGTAGTCTTTCCGATGCCCACCATTCCAACTATTGGGATAAGTCCTAGCTCCGAGGAGCCACGTAAGAGGCGGTCCTTTATCACGTCACAATCATGGCGGCGACCGATCATACAAATCTTTTCCGGGGAGCGCCACCAGGATCTGCCCTTCTCCGACGATTGAACATTCTCAGAACGACCGGAAGCCGCCGCCTGTTTTAGCAGCGACGGTGGTTGAGTTTTAATATTGGTGTTTTCTGCAGCTTCACTGCTTATTGTGGTGCTGATAATATTGAGCAATTCAGCTGCTTTTTGTGTGGGTTTTCGCAGGGCCTGATGGAGTGCCAGAGAAGCTTTTTCTGCGTCGTGGTGTTTGGCTAGAAGGAGAGTGTGTAGTTGTGTTTCGATGTGGTCTTCGGCTTGGAGTGCAAAGTCTCTGATTTTGGTGTTCAGATATTTGATTGTTTTTGCTGAGGCACCACTAGGCGGCTTCTGCAGAAAGTCTTGGAATCGAGATAACTGCAAATCAGAAAGCTTTTCAGCATCGAGAGGCACCCTTGGGTCGGATTGTAAGAACTCTAGGCGAATTGTTTCCATGAGAGAAGTCAAAGCAACAAATGCCATCTCTCTCTCTCCTTTTCTCTCTCTAGGAATGTGATTCGAAATTATTATGCAGTGTTATTGCTGACAACAATGGCTTCAAATAAATATTGTTTAATTTAAACGTAACAACTAACCATGTTTGGCATCTTGATGAACCTCATTCATTGTCTAATTAGCCCCGAAGAGTTGCCCAACTTGCTAAATTAAATTCATGAGGAGCTGTCACTGCACGTCAATATATTATCAAAGACTTGGTCAAATAATATTGTCATCACCATGGGAAGGTTCACACTTAATTAGGTCAAGGTTTGCATATACTTAGGGTACGTGTGTTGGTTCACACAAGAGAATCAAAATCGAAATGAAAATTAAATATTTAATAATGGTAATAGATTTTGGTGAAAGTATTATATTTTTAGTAGGGTAGAATTGGAATAATTACTAATATTGATGTTTGGTTATGTATGAATGAGAACGGTATAAAACTTTATTGAATAAACCATTGAACAAATGTATAGATAGGGAGTCATAGTGTGACTCAAATACATAGAGTCCTAATACTCCCCCTCAAGCACATGGTATGCTAGTAACATGTAGCTTGTCGCTAAGAAAAGAAAAGCTAGGACCAGGCAAAGCTTTTGTGAATATGTCTGCAAGTTGATCTTTTGTTGAGATGAAATTGATTTGAATATCTCCCGCAACAACTTTATCTCGAACAAAGTGATAATCTATCTCAACGTGCTTGGTACGAGCATGAAAGATGGGATTTGCACACATATAAGTATCACCAAGATTATCACACCATAGTTTAGGGGCAGAGATACCTGGAACTTTGATCTCACGCAGTAGTGAAGCGATCCAAGTTACTTCAGCACAAACATCTACTAGAGCTTTATATTCAGCCTCAGTAGAATATCTAGCCACAGTTCTTTGTATCTTGCAGACCCATGACACAAGATTAGAGCCAAGAAACACAGCAAAGCTACTTGTAGATTTTCGATCTTCCGGACAGCCAGCCCAGTCAGAATCAGAGAAGGCATGAATTTCCCTTGAAGATGACTTTTTGACTCGTAAACCAAAAGTAACAGTTCTTTTAACATACCTCAAAACTCTTTTTAATTGTTCCTAGTGTGAAACTGTAGGAGCATGCATGTGTTTGACACAACTGATTGACTGAAAAGGAAAGATCAAGACGAGTGATAGTTAAGTATTGCAATGCACCAGCCAAACTCCTGTACTGTGTAGGATCATCGTACAATGTTGTATCAAAGACCACGATTTTTGAAGTTGAAATAGGGGTAGACAAAGGTTTGCACTCTGCCATTCTAGCACGTTTTAGAATGTCATGCATGTATCTCTGTTGTGAAAGTAAAATTCCATCACTGCATTTAACTACCTCAATTCCAAGAAAAAAATCTGGTTCACCAATATCTCTGATTTTAAAAGCAGTAGAAAATTTCGAAACTAGCTGAGTGACTCCCGTATTGCTTCCATCATAAGTATATCTGACGGATATATCACGAATCGATCCGAACCGACCCGAGGACGCGGGCAAGAACGGGTCCCAGGGCGGCGCCACGGACCCGCCCCGGCCGAAGCCTCGCCACGTGGCCCCGCACGGGTTAGTTAAGTCGGTCTTGCCATCGCCGGGAATGAACGATAGTGGTATACAATAGCTCTCAACAAGAGCACCAATGATGGAATTAATTAAACCAAGGGCCACGTGGCGAGGCTTCGGCGGGGGCGGGTCCGTGGCGCCGCCCCGGGACCCGTTCTTGCCCGCGTCCTCGGGTCGGTTCGGATCGATTCCTGATATATCCGTCATCAGTCTCCCACTCTCCGAGCTGCGAGTAATCGTCAGTGAAGGAGAGTAGATGCTCTGGCCGACCCCGAGATGTCCGCGTCCAGCGTTAAAGGTGCCGTCCAAATGCACTTCTCGCGATAATGTTGAAAAACTCCATCCGGAACATGACTCCTTCATCTGCTAGGACACATACACAGTAGAGTCCTCTTAGGTTTAATTATCTTCTCCAAGTCAACCAATCACATCCATCTTTTCACCTTTTCCCCCCCTTTTTTTGCCTTTTCAAATTCAAACTCCCCCTCTTCCTATCTCCCCCTCTCCTATATAAACCCCTTCTCCCCTCTCATTCTACACTTTCACCACTCCAACTTCTTCCATCCTCTCTCCCAACTCCGGCGAGCCCCCCCCCACCGGATTCCGGCGACCCCACGGCGACACCTCCGGCGAGCCACCACCGGATTTCGACAAGCTCACGGCAACAAGTTCCGGCCGACCTCCAACTACCCCCGTCGCCGAGCCGTAGGCCCGAGCGTGGTACGTCCCTCTTTCCTCTCTCTTTTCCCACTTCCTCTTTTTTTTTTTTAATTTCTCGCCATGGTGCTGGGCTGCTCCGGCGGCGCCGCTGCTCCGTCGTGGTGGCGCTGTCCCGCCACTGCACGGGGGCGGCTCGCCAGCCGCGCTCCCGTGGTCCCCGGCCGACCTCCCGGGCTCAGGCCACGGCGAGGTCGTGCCGGCCTCGGGGTCGGCCGGCCTGCCCTGTTGAGGTCGTGCCGACCCCGTTCGTCGAGGCCATGCCGGCCTGCTGCTCTGCCAAGGTCGGGCCGACCTTAACCTCGGCCAAGGGCCGAGGTCCTCCAACTTGCCCCCTTTTTTTTTTTACAACCCTTCTGCGCCATCTGTCACGGCGTGGGCTCGCCGGCGCCGTGCCGGGCTCCGCCGACCTCGCCCGCCGAGGACGTGCCGACACCGGGGTCGGCCCGTCCTCGGCGTGGTCGGGCTCGACCTCGGCCTTGGGCCGGGGTCCTTGATAACCACGTTTTTTTTTAATGTGTCGAACACGCCCCGTTCTTATACCCCTTCTCTTTTATCTCGTAGGTTTAGTTGGTGCATGTACACTTCTTCCGGTTCCTTGGACGATTTTTTGGACTCCGTAGACACCCACATCCTTCCCATGGATGATACTAGCGATCCCCCTACTCCTTTTCCCGCTCATTCCCCCTCTGGGGAGGTCACCATGCCATACGAGGGTCCGTTGGACGCCCATCCTCCCGTCATGGAGGACCCCCTCGCGGTCCCATACGAGGATCCTGTCCAGTACACCCCTCTGGAGACACTCATCGCGGCCTCGACTTTGGCTCAGACCTCCGTGCAGGAGTTTGAGGAGGCCAAAAGCTATGTTGGATCTGCGGGCGAGGTACGCCTGCCTTCTCTGTCGGGGAATGCCACCGAGCCGCTGACACCCCTCTTCTTCGGGGTTCACGTGCAGTCCATGTACCTTGGTTTTCGCTTCCCTATTCATCCGTTCGTCGAATCCTTCCTCAACCACTACGGCATCGCACCCGGGCAGTTGGTGCCGAATGCCCATTACTTACTTCTTGCCTTCCTGCTTCGCTGCCACACCATTCGTGTCAAGCCCTACATGGATCTCTTCCAGAGTTTGTTTCAAGTCACCTCGTCCTCCGGCCAGGCCAGTAAGGGGTTCGTGGGTATAGCGGCCCAGGTGCGTATGAAGACATTCCATGACTTCAATCAGACCAACAGAGATTGGAAACCGCACTTCGTCTTCGTCTCGGTCGGCGATCGTCTCAGGGTTGGGCCGTGTCCACCGTGGCCCTTGTCGAGGATGAGCAGGGTCGCGCTCGCGAGCTGGTGCGAGCTTTGGAGGCCGAGACCAGGCGGGCCGATGAAGCGGTCAGGCGTGACACCTGAGAAGAAGCACAATCATAACAAAGCAACATCGAGGACTAAGTGCAATAAAGGAAGTCATGAGCAAGAATACATACCTCGATGGTACGGAGGGCCTCTCGAATGATAGCGGGCAAGCTCCGCGTCGTGTGCTCGGCAGGCGGCAGCGGGGGCGGTACAACCGGCGGTACAGGGGGGCGACTCGCCTGCGGCCGCGTCCCTCCCGGTGGGGGCGCACCAGGCTCAAAAGGGGGGGCGCCAGACTGCGCGGTAACCTTCTGTCTCTTCGCAATAGGGCCATGCGCCACGACACGCTCAAGGCACTGGAACAAACCACGAGTAGAGACACGCGAAGGGCCGACAGCGGACCCGGAGGACCTGGGCTCGGCAAAAACCTCGCCCGAAGACCCCGAGGATCCCGGGGACTACTCTGGGGGCTCATCATCTGACAACTCGATCAAGGGACGCGCATCCGACTGGGGCGCACGTAGAAGGCGCGGGCGAATACGAGGCGGTAGCGGCCCGTCCGACACAAAGCCCAGACTATGCATGTTCTCCGGCGTAATCATCTCGCCAATGATAATCTCTCCCCGATCGCCTCGGAAGGCATGGACGTCTCGGGCTAGAGCGGCCGTCTGGAGCGGGGCCCTGTAGCGCACAAACCTGTTGTTCCAAGATAGGAACGGGCGACGATCGCCGACGGAGACGAAGACGAAGTGCGGTTTCCAATCTCTGTTGGTCTGATTGAAGTCATGGAACGTCTTCATACGCGCCCGGGCCGCTATACCCACGAACCCCTTACTGGCCTGGCCGGAGGACGAGGTAACTTGAAACAAACTCTAGAAGAGATCCATGTAGGGCTTGACACGAATGGTGTGGCAGCGAAGTAGGAAGGTAAGAAGTAAGTAATGGGCATTCGGCACCAACTGCCCGGGTGCGATGCCGTAGTGGTTGAGGAAGGATTCGACGAACGGATGAATAGGGAAGCGAAAATCAAGGTACATGGACTGCACGTGAACCCTGAAGAAGAGGGGTGTCGGCGGCTCGGCGACATTCCCCGACAGAGAAGGCAGGCGTACCTCGCCCGCAGATCCAACATAGCTTTTGGCCTCCTCAAACTCCTGCACGGAGGTCTGAGCCAAAGTCGAGGCCGCGACGAGTGTCTCCAGAGGGGTGTACTGGACAGGATCCTCGTATGGGACCGCGAGGGGGTCCTCCATGACGGAGGGATGGGCGTCCAACGGACCCTCGTATGGCATGGTGACCTCCCCAGAGGGGGAATGAGCGGGAAAAGGAGTAGGGGGATCGCTAGTATCATCCATGGGAAGGATGTGGGTGTCTACGGAGTCCAAAAAATCGTCCAAGGAA